GTCAGTTTCTCCTGTTAGGTCTGTTAGTAATTGCTTTATACTTTTGGTGTTCCAGGTTGAGTGCATATATATTGACAAGTGTTGTGTCTTCTTGATGAATTGTCCCCTTTATCATTATAAAATGTCCATTTTTGTCTTTTGTTATCTTTTTTATCTTGAAATCTATTTTGTCTGATATAAGTACTGCTACACCCCCACTTTTCTCTGGATGCCATTTGCTTGGAGTATCATCTTCCACCCCTTCACTCTGAGCTTATGTTTGCCTTTGGAGCTGAGGTGAGTCTCCTGCAGGTAGCATATAGTTGGGTCTTTGTTTTTTAATCCATCCCGCTACTGTTTGCCTTTTGATTGGTGAGTTCAGTCCATTTACATTTAGGGTAATTATTGATATATGAGGACTTACTACATCTGATCTTTTGTTTTCTGGGTGCTCTGTAGCTCCATTTTTCTTATCCATTGTGATTCTGTCTGCTAGTTTAGTTTGGCAGTTTTCTATGATTTTTTTCTTGGTTTTCCTCTTTTATGTTTTATGTCTCAGCTCTGGATATTTGTTTTGTGGTTACCATTAGGTTTGTATAAAATGTCTCATACAATAGCCGTTTTATTCTGACTGCCTCTTCATTCACCTGTACATGTTCAGTCCCTTTCTCCCTCCCCTTTTATGATTTTGTCACAAATTATTGTTTTATGTTGTACACCGGCTACCTAATTGTAGTAGGCATAGTTATTTTTAATGCCTCCCTTTTCTCCTTTAACCTTTATAATTGTTTATTACCCTATTCTGAAGTAGATTTGCATTTTCCTCCTCCTGTCTGTTAGTCATCACACTCAAAGTTCTGTATACTTTTATCTTTTTGTTTCTGATAAAAGAGCTCCTTTAAGCATTTCTTCTAATTCAGGTCTTCTGGTAAATTCTCTCAGCTTTTGTTTGTCAGGAAAAGTCTTTATTTCTCCTTCATATCTAAAGGATAACTTTGCTGGATATATTATCCTTGGCTGATGGTTCCTCTCTTTCAATATTTTGAATATTTACTTTCCCTCTCTCCTGTCTTATGATGTTTCTACTGAAAAATCTGATGATAATCTAATGGGGTTTCTTTTGTAGTTTACACTCTTTTCTTCCCTAGCTGCCTTGAGAATTATTTATTAATTTTTGACTGTTTGAATAAAATGGGTCTTGGAGAAGGTCTTTTTGCATTGATATAATTAGGTTCTAAAGTCCAGTTCTTTCCATAGGCTTGGGAAGTTCTCATCAATATTTCTTTGAGTTCACTCTCTTTTCCCTTCTCCCTCTCTTCGTCTCCTGCTATACCCATTTTTTTATGTTGCTCTTTTTCTTTATTTTTATTTTATTTTTTTTTAGCTGAGCCATCCTGCTACCTATTGGCAGCTCAGCAGCTGCTCAGCTCGGGCTGGACTTGAACCGCTGTTGCTCAGAGCTCAAACTCTTGAGCGAGTTCTTAACCAACTGAGCCACTCAGCCAGCCCCCTATGTTGCTCTTTTTAATGGAGTCAGGTGGTTCTCATAGAGTTTTTATTATTATTTTTTTAAAGATTTAATTGGGAAGGGGAACAGTGTTGGGGAATTGGGGAAGGGGAACAGCTAAGTTGTTGTCCTTCAGTCTTAGTTGTGGAGGGCACAGCTAGCTCAGCTCCAAGTCTAGTCACCATCCAGCCACCCGTCGACAGCTCGCAGCCGCTCAGCTCAGTTCAAGGTGCCGTGTTCAATCTTAGTTGCGGGTGGTTAGTTGCGGGTGGGTGTAGCCTACCATCCCATGTGGGAGTCGAACCGGAAACCTTGTTGTTAAGAGCGCACACTCTAACCACTGAACCATTCGGCTGCCCATCGGCAGCTCAGCTCAAGGTGCTGTGTTCAGTCTTAGTTGCGGGTGGGCGTAGTCCACCATCCCATGCAGGAGTCAAACTGGCACTCTTGTTGTTAGGAACATGTGCTCTCACCAGCTGAGCCATCCTGCCACCTGTTGGCAGCTCAGCTGCAGCTCAGCTGGGGCGCAGCTCACTGCCCCAAGTGGGAATCAAACCGGCAACCCTGTTGCTGAGAGCTCGTGCTCTTAACCTTAACTGAACCACGTGGACGGCAGTTATTATTTTTTAACTCTTGGTTCTCTCTATTCCTCTTGGGTCATTTCTAAGTTTCTGTCTTCGAGCTCTCTAATTCTCTCTTCCATCTGTCCTGCTCTATTTCCAGTGCTGTCTAATACGTTCCTCGTCTCATTTATTGAGTTCTTCAGCTCCAGAATTTAGTTCTTTTTCATAGTTTCGATCTCTTTGGTAAAGTACTCCTTTTGTTCATTAATTTTATTCCTCAGCTCATTGAACTTCCTTTCTAAGCTCTCTTGTATCTCTTGTATTGAAGCTCGCTGAGCTTCTTCATAACGGCAGTCTTAAATTCGCTGTCATTTAAGTCACAGTCTTCCATGACTTTGAGTTTGGTTTCTGGAAACTTTTCATTTTCTTTTTGTGCTGCCATGTTACCTTGGTTGTTCATGCTATTTGATGGATTGTTTCTCTGCCTGCACATTTGAGGTAGTGAACTCATTTCTTGTTTAGACACTGTATTGCTCTCAACAATTCATCAGGTTGATAAGTAGGGTACTTTCTTTTGTTTTCCAGTAGATGGTGTTATAGCACAAGTTTTGTTTTCTCTTACCTGCACTATTTGCGCCTCTGGGATCACAGTGGAGCAGTGTCATTTCAGTTAATGAAAATGCCACATACCCACTGGAATGGTGGGTGTCCCCTCTGTGACCAGCCCACCTTGGTTACTGCACACCACCACTGTGGTGGGGGAATGTGGTGGGTGGCAGAGAACCGGTTTTGGGAGCTCCCAACACCACCTCCTTTTTACTAATTGGTCACTGGCCCCACTGTGTTCCTGGAGGCATCTCTACTGCCTCTACCAGGCTCTGCCAGGATGGGTGGGGTAGGGAAGGCAAATTCACATTTCGTGGCTCTGGCCCCTGCCAACAGTGGCTGTTGGCACCACTGTGCTGTTTGGGTCTTCTCTACTATCTTTATTGGGCTGTTACGATGGGTGGGGCAAAGGAGGCAAGTTCATGATCTCACAGCTTTGCCCCCTGCCAGCAATGGCTGTTGGCACCACTGTGCTGTTTAAGGCTTCCCAGACACTCCTACCGAGGTCTTCCATGATACGGAGGAGAGGTATCAAACTTTTCCCAGGGGAACACTGTTTCTGCCCCTCTTTTTTTTTTTTTTAAGATTTTTATTGGGGAATTGGGGGAAAGGGAACAGACAAGTTGCTGTCCTTTTGTTCTTCAGTCTAGTTGTGGAGGACGTTGCTTCACTGGCCCAAGTTGGCACCATCATTGCGCTCTTCCCGGGCGAGGCAGATCAGTCACTGGCTTCTGGACGGCCGCTCACTGCGGCTGCTGGCCGCTCACGCTGGCTGCTGGCTACACACGGTAGCCCATGGCAACCAACCCACTGCAGCAGGGGCTGCAGCCTACGCCATCGCTGGCGACTCACAGCAGCCCAGCTCCAGGTTGAGCTGTTGTTCAGCATCTTAGCTGCAGAGGGCAGTGTCACTGGCCCTCATATGTGGGATCCAAACCGGGGCCCTCTGGCGTCCCAAGCCAGCTCTTAACCAACGCGCCACTCGGCCCTGTTTCTGCCCCTCTTAAATTCTAAGCTATAGTGTGAGGGCTGCAGCCCGACTTCTCCATCAATGCCACACTTGCTGGAGCCACAGTGGGTGCCAAGCTGCGTCTGCAGCTACCATCCCTGTCCTTCCCCTGTCCTGCCTCCCCTACTCATTCCAATACACCCACCTTCAGATGTTCCATGTGTGGATCTCTCAGGCGTGTCTGTGTTGAGCAGAGGATCTTTTGTTTTATAGTTGTCCAACTTGTTGTAAATTTAAGGGGAGAAGCAAAGGCATCTTCTCACTCTGCCATGATGCTGCCATCCCTAGCAAGGGTTTTAAAGGCGATGGTATTCAATGTTGTCAAGGGCGCTGTGTATCAACTGTATGGCCTTTCTGGAGAACAGTTTGCAAAACAAAGCAAGAAGCTTGACATGTGTGTGACTTTGGGTGGGTAATTTCAGTTCTAGGAATTTAGTGACTCATTCAACATGTTTATTGACCTATCCAGTGCCAGGCACTGAGCTGGGTCCCAGGAAGCTGGTGATGGGTGAAATAGATGTGATCCTCACCCCTAGAGATCCCTCAGCAGGGGCATAGCAACTGTCACTCAATTATCTATGCAGGGACGGGATGAGAGGGGTTCTGCCAAGGAGAGGTTCTGGGCCTCCTGTCCTGGCTTCTGAACACCAGCCCTGTGCTGAGCAGCTGTGTGACCTTGGGCAAGTCCCTCTACCTCTCTGAGACTCAGATAAAGACATCTGGTCTGCATCAAAGTCTTAGGAGCTAATGCCTGTGGAGGAACTGGCTTACAAGCCGGGCTTCCCTCTCCACTTGGGAAGCATCATTGTCACTGCCCAAAAGGACTTTTTCCTTCCTCAAAGGTCCAGTGAGTTAGTGGCCATGACTGCACAACTGTGGGAATATACTAAAATCTGCTGTATTTTACCCTTTAGGAAGATAAAGTTTATAGTATATGAATTATATCTCAATAAACCTGCTATAAAAAAAAATAAAGCAAAGCTCTAACAAGGGACCAACTCTGCTAAAAGTGTTTTTCTGGTGAAAAAAATGTGAGCTTTATGAAAATTAGACTTGCAGAAACAAGGAAAATCCTCTTTCCTTGAGAAAGGGAGGGGGCTCCGTGGTTAATTCCAGGAAAAGGCATGTGAACGGAAGTGCACCCAGGTAATGAAGAACCACTTGTTTCTCCCTCTGTAGCCGACCGCCCACCTTTGCCACAAAGTAGTGCTGGGGAATCTGATGATTAGGATGAACAGGGGGGACTCAGGAATATTTCTCCAGGGACAAAAAGCTCTTCCAAGCCCTGCTGGCTCCATCTGTGCCCACAGCTTCTCCCCACCCTCTGCCTATCCAGATACCTGAAGCCAGATGTGGACAAGAAATCCAAACATAAGACAGCAGTAAAGAAGAAGACCCTGAACCCAGAGTTCAATGAGGTACAAGGGGCTGGCGAAGCCACAAGAAAGCTGCTTGCTGTCCCCTGGAATAGGGGGCCTGGGAGGGACTGGATTTTCAAGGGTCACTGTGGGAGCTTGGAGGGTGAGAAGAGAGGATAGGGAGGGGCTGACAGGAGAGCCCCCAGCCATGGGGGCAGGGGAGAGGCGCAGGCCAAGCTGAACCAGGTGGTGCAGATGGAGGGGAGAGATCAAAGGATGGATGGAAGTGACGGGATTATGGCCACATTGGATGTGGAGTTGGAAGTGGGGGAACCCAGCAGCAGGAATAGGAGGGGTGAGGGAGATGGGGGAGGGTCTGGGTGGGATGTGATCAGGGCAAGGAGCACAGGGGCCTTGGGCAGAGCCTGAGCAATGCAGGGACAAACAGAGGATACTGAAGAGATGCTTCCAGAGACTGAGGGTGGGTACCAGGCGTTGGAGCACCATGGAAGCCATTGGGAGAGAAGGTTCCACAAAGAAGGGAGTGGTCAGCAGAGCCAGACCCAAGAGAGGTCATGCACACCACGGCTGCCAATGTGAGTTGATTTGGCAGTAAGGAGGCTCTCGGGGGATCTTGAGAGAGAGGCTTCAGTGACAAAGGGGCAGGTGGGTTAGAGTGAAAGAGCACTCTAAGAGGACCCCGGCCAGGCTCTCAGGCAGACATGTACAAGGTAGGTGAAGATCCATTGTCTACCACCGTGCATGGACCACCCTCCCTTGGTTCATGCCCTCACCGTACCTCAGAGCCCTCCTGGCCATGTGGCATTGGCCCTGACTCTCCCCTTCTGGCCACCAGGAGTTCTGTTACGAGATTAAGCACGGGGACCTGGCCAAGAAGACCTTGGAGGTCACTGTTTGGGATTATGACATTGGAAAATCCAACGATTTTATTGGTAAGCGGCCATGACAAGAATATTGTTTGACCACATGCCCGTCCTGACTTCATTGAAGGGCAGTAGCCCTAAATCGGACCACAGCCCCTCCTTCCTGGTCTCTGGGGAAATCTAGGGCCATAGACCACCTGCCCCCACCCCTGCGGGGCTTCAGACATTATGTGACAGAGGAAGAAACAGGCCCAGAGAGGAAAAGAGGCCTGGAGGGTGACACAGCAGTCTGGGGGAGCAGGAGTGAGAGGTGATGATGGTCAGCACCGCAGGCTGGACTCTGAGCCCTGTGGCCCAGAAACCCTGGTTGACTTGGTGGCTGTGCACAGTAGAGCTGCCCTGACCCTTTCCTGCTCTTTTTTGCCTCCATCCCTTGGCCCCTAACACGTGCCACTGCGCTCCTCCCCAGTACTGCTCTGGTCCTGGGTGGATGAAGAGCAGGACCCCTGGGCCCTGATCTGGGTAACCAAGAGTATGGGATGGCGGTCAGACCACTGTCTACCCTCAGAGCCCGGGGGGCAGGGTGCAGAGTCCAGCCTTGAAGCATGGAATCTAGGAGGGGGTGGGGGGCGCACTGAGGATGGACCTGCCTCCGGCCCCTGGCTGCCCCCTTAACTCCCCCCCTGTAGGTGGTGTGGTTCTGGGCATCAACGCCAAGGGCGAGCGCCTGAAGCACTGGTTTGACTGCCTGAAGAACAAGGACAAGCGGATAGAGCGCTGGCACACACTCACCAATGAACTCCCTGGGGCTGTGCTCAGCGACTGACCGGCCCCCACCTGCTGCTGCACCCGCCCCTACGTGTCACCTGGCCCAGCCCAGGCCTGGCCCTGGGCTTCCTCAGCTGCCGTCAAGGGCCTTGGCCCCCATGTTGGGGGAAATCCAGGACACCTGCTCGGACACAGAACCACTGCAGCCCCCACTTGGAGGCCATGGAGGACCCAGCCATTCCGAGGGACAGCGAGGACAGAGCCGGGCCTTCTTTCAGCTCCTGGGGCCTCACAGGGCCAGAGGTGGGAAGAGAGGAGCTTGGCCTCAGCACCCACCCCAGGGAAGGGGGTGGGGCTGTCCAGGGGCAAGGACCCTACTACAAGCCAGCAGAAAGTCACAGGGGGCCCGAGGCTGAGAGAACAGGAGTGCAGGGGTGCCCAGGCAGAGCCAGTGAGAACTGAGAGGGGCATTAGGAAGAGGCACATGGGGAGACGAGACTGTGGGCAGGACATGACTCTGACTACATCCATTCATCTCCGCATTACTGGGCAGTTGGAAAACAAGTTGACCTGAGAGCCAGGAGTCTGGTGAAGCTCCCAGAAGCTCCCAATGAACATGGTTCAGTTGGCAAATGCTTCACTCAGTGATTTCACAAGCCCCTGGGGATGACTGAGATCCAGGGCCTGCCCTGGTGGAGTTCTCCTATCTAGTCAGGGAGCTGAAAACAAACCATGACAACAGGGACTGAGGAATGAATGCCAAGGCCAGCCTGGCGCACCCGCGAGTGCTATGGATTCTGCTAGGAGAGCAGGAAGGGCTCCCCAGAGAAGGTGATGCTTTAGCAAGGCCTTACAGGACAGTAGAGTTTCTAAGCAGACAAAGGGAAGGGAGGGCAGTGCAGGCGGTGGGAATGGTCTGCACAGGCCTGGAGGGGAGGGAACAGCGATGAGGCCAGGGTTGCTGTGAGGGACCCGGGGTTCATCTGGGGGGCAGGGGCAATGGCACCCAGCCCTTTTCCTTCCCCACCCCTGGCTGCCAGGCCAGCCTGGGCTCATAGCTGTGGGGGAAATGCCAGAAGTACTGGAAGTACCGTGGTGAAACGGACGTCGCCGAGTCCAGTTCAGTCCTCGGACCCTGTTCTCCCACCTTGGATCTCTCGTCTCCGGAGGAACCTGGAGGCTGGATCCTGCCTCTCCTTCTTCCCGCTTAAGCATCAGGTCAGCTGTGGTCAGGAAGAGAAAACGGGCCCTTTGCTTTGTATGAAAGGAAGCAAAATGTCCTCCTTGTCCTCATCCTCCTCTTCCCTTCCGCCGCCTGCCACCTGGGCCCTTCTGGGTGCAGAGCTGGGTAGTGAGTAGGACCCCAGGTGGTTGCCCATGCATCCTGGCCCTCCTGTGGCCACTGATGTCCCTCTCAGGAATACTGGGCAGCAGCCCAGGGCCTTGTTTCTGGGAAAGCTGAGAGGGAGACACCCTGCCTGGTGGGCCTGTCAGCACCCTGAGTCAGGGTTTCTAGGGAGGGGTTGAAGGGTTGGGGCTCAGATCTGAAGCCCCAGACTTTTCCTGCCTACCAAGGGGCCTTTAGGAATGCTGGATGGACAAATGCATAACCAAGGAATTTCTGTGTTCAACCTATCACTGCACTGGTGGGAAACGGAGCCCACATAAGGAAAGTGACCTGCCCAAGGCCTTCCAGCCTTACCACAGCTGGGGTCAACCAGGCTTCATGGCCCCTGCCCCACCCCCAAACCAGAGCTCTGGACACCACACTTCAGGGGAAGTGAGGTGCTGGGCTCACACATGAGAGGTCCTGCTAGCTGCCTGCCTGGGGCTCACCCCCGCTGCCTGCTGCCCACCCACACCAACACTAGCAGCAGGGGCACAGGGGTTGGACCTTCTGCTGCAAACACAAAGCACACCACCATCTGAGGCCTGGGGTGATGATTCGAATCCCACCAAGTGCCCATCAGCCCTTTCCTAGTTTGCAGGGAATTTGGGACTCCAGCCCCACACAGTACCTGGGAACTTTTGCTGGTCATGGAGCCTTGACTGTACTGTCTTTAGGAAGGCTTTGTGTGTGGTAAGGGTTTTATGTGCACTGTCTTAATGAATCTTCACAACTGAGGCCCAGCGGGGACAAGAACCTAGGACTCCTGGCACCCAGTCCAGGGCCCTCTGCTGCCTCGGGCTGTGCAAGTGTAGAGTTGACCCTGAAAGATGGTCCAAGCTGACCACAGGGTCAGTCTGGCAGGGAGACAGGACTTCTTGACAGGCAGCCCAAGTGGAGGATGGGGCGCAGGAAGGCCCCCCAGGAAGTGACAGAACTTTCACCAGAACCCTGGCACTGTTGCAGATTGTCTCTCTGTAAAAGAAAAAGCTCTTTGAGAAGAGTCATTTCAAAGTCAGGTGTCAGTAATCAGGGTGTCGCCCGATGCACTGCATCCACCTCCACCCCACCTCCCTTCCTGGTCCCCACCCCACCCACCGCCACCACTAGCCAGTCCCCAACTGGCCCGTCTTCCAACCCTGAAGTGGTAACCTCCTGACCTCTAGTGGCGAGAACGAGGAACTGCACCTCCCGGCCTGTGCATGTCCGGCCTTTGTTCCTTCTCAACCGAGAGAACCTCCCATGCATGGACTCTGGCTGTCGTCGATGCAGACTCTCGTGCACTGCTTAATACTGTTTTGCTACCATGTGATGGCTGCAGAAATCGTCCTTAACTGCAGCCCCACACACAATTTTTGTATTTTCGTCTGACCTACCCGAAGGTGTCCTTTTTAAGTCTTATTTGTTAATATTTATAATGACATATAATCCAAAGTAAATGGAAACGTTCATTGCGATCATATTGGCTTGGGAGACTCCTTTTTAATAGATTTGAATGAGTGGGCAGGAAAGACCGAGAATGGCAATAGGTTTACTTAGAACATTTTCTCATTTACTCTTCATCAAGAACCCATTTGAAGTAGGTTCCCGTTACAGATGGGAAACTGAGGTTCACAGAGGTTAACACATTTGTGCAGAATCACACAGTTGGAAGTAATAGATCCAGAATTCAACTCATGCCTCCCAAGACTTTTTACACCAGGATCAGCATGGCATGCTATCAGCCACCCATTCAACAAGCAGCTGTGGGGGGCTGGCCGAGTGGTGCATGGGTTAAGAGTTGGCTTGGGACGCCAGCTCTGAGCAGCAGCCCTGGTTCAGATTCCACGTGAGGGCCAGTGACACTGCGCCCTCTACAGCTAAGATGGTGACCAACAGCTCGACCTGGAGCTGGGCTGGGGTGAGTAGCCGGTGACAGCGTAGGCTGCAGCCCCTGCTGCAGTGGGCTGCCGTAAGCTATTGTGAGTGGCCTGCAGCCAGCAGCCAGCATGAGCTGCTTGTGAGCCGCTGTGAGCGGCCGTCCAATGGCCGGTGACCAATCTGCCTTATC